AACAATGGCCTACGGAACTGTATGTATACGATGTCGGGCGTCTCAACTTTAAAACTAAACATGGCCAGAGATCCCAGAGATTCATTTGAGTCCGTCGATCCACTAACCAGTAAATTTATACTATAATAATGCCTCGGCACAAGGATGCACGTACAACACCTACAATAGGGTCACCACCATTGACGGTTATATACTTAAGGCGAGGTTCCTCAACTGATCGGTTGTGGTAGCCCGGATGCAGTGGAGGCGATGCCCTCAATACACCGTACCCTAGTTCAAGACGATTCCCTCTTACCCTAGTTTCAACGTGTCATGCTTGCATCTATTGTCACCTCTTGCTTGTCAAGTAGCCAATTGGGTTTAGTCCCATGTTTCCTGCAATAAAATTCTTCTCATGACCGATCAAACACAATATGTGTATTGAATGTAATAGGATCTTATATTATGGGACGGAGGGAGTGCATGGCAATCTTGATTTGTTTTATTTGATCAATATTCTACTATTCAAAAATAAATCTGAATGTTATCAGTTATTATTCTTATGGAGTATTTGGGAGTTGTGAGCATGTAGTATTCAACATGAAAAATTTAATTCGCCACATGCAGGTACAAACACATGGCAACTCTGAACATTTGTTATGACAAATTTAGTTACGTGAGGATGATAACTTTAGTTGGCAAACATGGCACTTCGTGCTTTAGTTTATTATTGACAGAAACTTGCCATGTGTCACTAGAATTTGCCATCCTTGCTTGACTGGAATTGCCATCAAAAAACGTCAGGGCCAGAGTGCCACACACCTGACAAGTGGCACTTATCATTTGGGAAGGATTTTGAAGAGATTTTTATGTTTATAATGTGGAGTCTAGCAAATCTTGTGATTGTGAAGCGACATGTGACATGAGTAAACATGTGAAGTTTGCGCATATTTTATGACAAAGTGGCATAAATGAGAGATGGACAAATGTGCGAAATAAGTGTTGCCATCTACTTTGTGTTACTATAAATTAATGAAGCCAATTATGGTTTCATCCCGTAGCAACACACGGGTATTTAGCTAGTAGGTTTAAAAATCTCAATTGAACAGATCTGCCATTTATTTAATATATGCTAAAAATCAATAGCCTTTAAATAGTGTTTAAGTGAAACATATTACCCACCATTGCCATTGCCATTGTAATGAAAAAAAAGGTTCGCTCACCCTTGGCTTATTAGCTACGTGCAGTCAAATATGAAAAAAAAACATAGTTACGTGGGATGCGGAGTTGATGCCGCTATATTGCTACGTGCCATCAAAAGAAAAAAATTACTTTTTTTTACTTGGGATGTGGGTTTAATGCCTTGCTATATGCATGCTAAGTGAGAAATATGCGTGGGATGTGTGGTTAAAACTTTTAGGGAACACCTTACATCGTCCGCTAAGAATTTAAAAATAAAATTAGGAAGTGCATCCACCAATAATGAGGGAGTGTTTGCATGACCGCAGCGAGCTAGCTCATGACCAACTACATTTGACTCTCTATTACAATGCTGAACAGTAACATTCCCTGCGTGTCACCACTTCTCCTTCTCTATCCTCTTACTCCTCACCGATGCGGATAGCCAACTTGAGCGGCAGTGCAGGCTCATTGTGGAACTTCCAGATACGGTCTGCTCCTCCTTCTGAATCGACCAAGATATATGAAGGGATTCTATCTGACGTTGATGCATTGGCTATGATTTCTAGATGCCAAAGAAAGTAAATAAAATGATCGATCATGTCTCTTTGAATGCCCACAAACGATCATGTCTCTTTTTTAATGCCCATGATCGATCATGTCTCTTCGGACGCCTCTCATCGAAGCGAACAACAACGGTGGCAATCGGCGTGACAAGATGGCACTGGCGTCCTCCTACATGTTGCACCGACGACATCGACAACCATGGGCTTCTAGAGAGGAATAAAGCATAACAAGATTAGGAAGGTGATTGTTGGAACTAATCTTGTTATTAGTATTAACTTCATAGGATTAGATCATGTGTGTGTGTGTGTGTGTGTGTGTGTTCTTAAGAGAAACAAGAGACTAGAGAGATTGTGAGGTAGAGGAAGAAGCGGCATTGCGAGGAGGCGGCGCCAACACTTGCATATGTTCTTCTGAGTTGCCATCCTTTGGAAGACCTAGAGTCATATGGGTATACGACGCTTATTAGCGGCCAGGAGCCCGTGGCCACAGGGTGTCCAGAGAGTGTCCTTGCTGCTGGAGTTCGTGTGGACTCCTGCCGATACTTCTGGAATCCCTCCTTCGTCTTCACGGTGCCTTCTCCGCTTTCATGATTTCCTCGCATACGGTGTTGGCGTTCTCTTGTGCATGACCTCCTCCAATGCACATTTTCCACTTGGCTCAAACTATTGGTGCAAAGTAAAGGGAGGTCGAGTAGTCTACCATTCATGGGAGAACCAAAAAGACACACATACGGGATATAAATCACGTTAGCTATGTGATGTGCGTGTCCCTTGGCGATGGAGCAAAGGCTGGCCATCAAAGGGCTAATGAAAATATGAGTTTCACCTTCGGAAATCATCTTTAATCATGGCCAATGCATTTGGCACTCATAAAAGCGTGCTTGGTATGTTGGGGCACAAGAAATTTTTATGTTGAATTATTAGGAGAGATTTTTCTTTCAACATTCTTTCACGTGGATTGATAACATTAGTTAGGACTACCAAGGGAAACTCTGGTGGCGTTTGGTTATGAGGCTATCCCTAAGTGGGATAGGGATAGCCAGATTTTCAGGGGATGCCGTATGTTTGGAAGGAAGGATGTAATGGCTGGGGATAACCCGATTTAGCGAATATTCCACCGAAAACTTGGCTATCGAAAGCCGCGAGAAACTGGCGGACGAGGGCAGCCACCCACCCGCGCTGAAGCGTTTTCCTCCTCTCTTTTTTCTGTTCTCGCCTCTCCCACGGCAGCGGCGGCGATTCCGGATCGGAGCGGCAGCGCTTGAGGCGAGTCCGGATCGGAATGGGGGCGCTCGAGGACCCGGAGAACGGAGGCGCCAGCGGCAAGTTACATCGGTGCCGGCGGCTGTGTCATACAAATACGGACGGTGTAGCTCGATCTCTCTTTGTACCAGATCTGATTCATCTTTCCCTTTCTCTGAAGCTAGCACGTCGGAGCACCGAGCCGACGAATAGAATCAGCAAGCCAGCCCCGATTTGATACATACTACTGATCTGTGTTAATCCATGTCATACACTACTGGTCTCCCCTTTGATGTCTGTTTGATACTAGTACTGAGATAATATAAAAGCCTATCTATCCATTTTTCATCCTTCCATCCAAACAACAAAATATGGCTATCCAACACAACTAATCCCATTCAACCAAACAATCATATGTGGTTATCCCTAACCAGGTGGCTGGGGATATCACCAGCCAACCAACTTCGCCCTCGAACCAAACGACCCCTCTATTGATTTCTACAAGCCTATGAACTTTGGGCCCCAACAAGTGATATTTTGGTCAAGTTTTGATGGAGATCGGAGTGTTTGTCGGAGTCGAGGAAGACGACATGGAAGTGTGCGTGATTGCGGGGTTCAGAGGCTGCTATTTATAGCCAAATCTCGGCTCATCGTGAGTGCATCTATGTCGGAGTTCGGGCGGTGGTAAATTTATGGCGTCCTTGCTACAATAGTGAGGATTGTTAGGCTGCCGTGCGTAGTAGGGATAGATGACTTGATGTGAAGCGGGAAGGGTAGGAGGGCACGCGAGAGTGTCTTGTGTTGCCTCGCCGGTGCGGCATAACAGTGAAGAGTTGGGCAGCACCACAAGGATCACAATGGTCGTTCTGAGATATAGACACTTAGTATAATATTTTGTGTCGCATTGAACCATTTTTAAGCACCAAAACTCTACTTTGAACCAGATTTACAGTTAGGATTCCATCGTGACAGGTTTTGCTCTAATTATCAAACTTGCTAGGCGACCTAGATTTTTCAAAAAAAATATAAGACAACTGAAAATTAGCAAAAGCAAATTTATAAGCATCCATTTGATTTTTGCAATTCATCTGGTCTTGATACAATTTAAAAC